TTTGTATCAGAGCATCTTGAGAAAAACAAAAGAGAAAAGGAGCAGGAAGAAGGGAGGAAGGTGGGAAATTGGTTTTAGAGAATCAGCCTACTTAGGAAGAAGGCAAAGCTGGTGGAAATAGCTCTTTTCCTGGAGACTGTGGCATAAGTGTTTCCCTCAAGGGTTCTTCTGAAGGAAGATAAAGAGCCCAACTCCTGGCCCCCACAGGCTGCATTTTATTACAGATCTCGTTTCTGTTCCTGAAGTCTCAGTCTGAGGCCAGTGAGTGAATTAGACTTTTATGGGTGGTACTGGTTCCAGAAATAAGGTAAGAATTAGGTGGTGTTATATCATATAGGCTAGAGGTAAAAGAACTCTTAAAGACTTGAAATATGTGAGATATATATATAGGCACAAGATAGATAGACAGATATGCACAAGTCTCCGCTTATGTCAGAAGTGAAAGATGAGGACCTGGGAAGGGAGGGTAAGAGAATGTGGGCCAGATGGAATTTACTGAAGAGCAGTAAAGAGAAGCAATTCAGTAACTAGAAGGCACCCTAATAGTTAGACTAGAGATGAGAAAACATAAAATATATTGATGTAGGCTGCAAACAACTCTCGGCATATGAAAGGAGCCCTAAAAATGGCAGGGAACTGTAGTCATCTGCCCTAGGCCACACATTGGAAGAAGCTTTGTGGAGGCAGCCAGGGAATCTTAGCAGGTGTGAAAAGTAACTAAGAGCCAATTATTCTTCCCAGAAAGAAAGAAGGGGATGTACTAAGAGTGTGAATTAGAATGGAAGAAAAGATATTACTCATCTCAAGATATATCTTAGCCAACAATTAAATATTTTAAGATACTCCTTTAATATCCTCAGAAACCTCATGAAGAGGGTATTTTATTATTTGTCTCCATTTCTTCTTTTCAATGAAAATGGAATTAAATGTGGTTCTCTTCTCAGAAGGTACTCTCTGAAGCTATTCCACCTGGAACATTTAGTAAACCTATTCACCCACAAGCCGGCCATTCTCTGAAACCATAAACCCGTTGAGGACTTGGGCACATAGCGTGATGTAAGAAAAAAAATAGTCAATGCTCAAAATTGGCCTGCTGAAGGAATACACTAATGAGTGAAGAAGAGTATGCTAGGAAGTAAATGATGAAGTTACATGTTCATTTCTACCAGCAGAAGAATTTATCAATTATCAAGAACTGCAACCCCTCCTCATGCCCCAGAAATAACTCTTTTTCTAGTTTCAGCCATTTCTAAGCCTACTTCCCTGGCCTGTGAGCACAAAGAGTGCCTCATCTCAGATAATGAAGTACAGTTACCTCTTAAATGTACCTTGACCCTCTTCATAAGTGAGCAAACTGTTTGTGGTGAAGTCAGAGGTTTCCAATCTAATTTATTTCAATTATTACTTTATGAAAAGTGGCAGGTTATTCATATTATCTAAGACTCACTTTCCTTAAGTGTGAAATAGGGATAATATCCAGTTCTTTTTTTT